ACGTTTACAACGTTTCCAGATCTCAGTCTCCTCATCTGTTAGATGGGTGCGTAGGACCGCACAGTCCTGTTAGAATGCAAAGGCAATGCTCCCAAGCGGTTTGGCCCAGTGCCGGCCAAACAGAGGGGGAGGCCACGTGGACACGGGCACCCCGGTAAATGAAGGCTACCCCATTGTTTCGTCTGTTGGTGGCCCTTCCTTTTACCTGGTGGGAAAGAGCCACCCTACGGAGAGGAGCTCGTCTGTAGCGGCGACAGTTCTGAATCACTGAGCTAGTTAAGGGAGCAGATTTCAGAAATCCAGTTACTTGCGGCGGCCCCCCGGGCGACAGGAATACACAATGTCAGACCTCACAAAAACTGCTTCCGGAAGGACCGTGCTGGGCTGGGCAAGCTGGGGTTTCCCGGGCAGCTCCGACCAAGCGACAAGCGCGATTCCTACTGGCGTCTGTAAACGCTCCATGAAACTCACACAGGGCTCCCTCGGTAAATCAGTAAGGACCCCCCCAAGAGAACAGCAGAAGGGCAAGGGGACCACAAAGAGAGGCGAAATGGGGGCCCTGGGGGCTTTCCCCTGCCCCAGAGCCCCACTGTTTACATTCCAGCGAAGCCGCTGCTGAGCCCCAAGCCTGCCCAGCGGGGGAGCTGGCCGGGTACTGGGGCCAGTGGCAGTGTTCTAAAAATAGCCTTCGGGACCCAACTCTGGGGGGCTGTGCGCCAGAAACAGAAAATGAAAACGGAACCCCTTCAGGCCCCGGGGGTCTAAACAAAGGGTCCCCCAAGCCAGCACCCCTACTCACACCCAGCCCCGCTACTGGAAGGGATGCGCCATCGCGGGAACCCGCAGAAACCCTAAGGACACACAAACACACGGAGCAGAGGGACATGTGTGTGAGGGGGACACGTGGAGTTTAGAGGAGGCCCCCAGAGTGTCCCAACCCCCCCGCAAGACCAAGAACCGGAGCGCCAGCTGTTCGGGTGCCGTCCCCCGGCCTCCTGCACGCAGCCCGAACGCATCGTGCTGCAGAAACTGCTCCCGGGAAGGGACATGGTCTCCGCGTCGTCTCGGCTCCTGTGCGAGGAGCCTCCACGGTTAGAGCCGTTTGTGTCAGGAGCTGACAGTTCAGCGGGGACGTCTGCACAGAAGTCCACTGCAAGAGGTAAACAGAATAGCTGGTACGAAAACAAGCTCTCAGAACCTGTTTACAAGTCCAAAGCCAAGATGAAACAGCGACGCACTTTTCGAGGGCTGTAAGGGGCGGGCCTGGGAGGCGTCACAGAGGAAATACTCTCTTAGAATAGAATGGCTGTAATTAAGCTGGAAAACACACTGTTTTGTTTTGGTTTTTTGTTTGTTTGTTTTTAATAACCTGCTAAAACTGAACACACATGAGACTACAACAAAAAGCATCTGTGGAAAATCCTTGGCCAGGGTAGAAAGAACGGGCTTTGCTGTCTCCGTGAGCATGGTGCACAGACAGTTGCATCCGGGAGGTATTGCTGGTGTTGCCAACTGGCTCAAGTCCAGGCGTTTGGCAAACAGGCTCTGATCCACGTGGACCCACGTACGCACCCTGTGAGGGGCTGTGGGGACCACCCTGAACCCCTGTCCTCGTGGAATAGACCTCGGCTCCCTGCACCTTCCCTGTGGCCACGCCACTGCCATGTCTGTCCAAACCCTCCTGAAATCCACTTCTGTTGCCAGCTTGAGCCACCTCTGGGAGACAATCCACTCCGGAAATTCACTACCTGCTGCGTGCTGCAGTGTTTCCGCCGACATGTCCCGAACTTGCCTCTCTCGTGGTTCGAAGACACTGCTCTATTCAGGATCAGGGGAACAAGCCTGATCTCACCCACACCGCCGACAGGCCGAGCACTTCCTAGCAGCCTGGCCTGGCCCAGCCTCCCAGGGGCCCCTCGGCGCTCCGGCGACTTTCTGTGGCCTGTGATGCTCCCTTCTAGCTCTCACCCAGGTCTCACGGGCAAGAATATACCCCAGTTTTTAGTTTAATATTTTCCATACCAGGGGAATATGGCCATTTGGGGGCAGCACTGTCCTGGGTGCACACACAGTGTGTTCTACATGCCTTCTAGACCGAGGGAGTTGGCAAACTGATGGGAAAGAGTGTGCAGGTGACACAGGGTAGACGGACGTGACCAACAGTGCAAGCCACCTGTCCGAAATGGGGCCTGCACGCAGGCTGCCTTCTGTCCCTGAGAGCCCAGTGGTTTGCATAGCACCCAGAGGAGGCAACACCTTTGGTCCCCAACATACTAAAACCAGGGCTCAGCAGGTGCAACAGTTAGTAGTGGGCGGTCACTCAAACTTCCAGTCAGTACACACATCTGCTTATTTTGGCTTCTTTAAAAAAAAAAAAAAAAAAAATATATATATATATATATATATATATGTGTGTGTGTGTGTGTGTGTGTGTGTGTGTATATATACCAATGCTTTGTTTCAGTCCATTTGGAGCCCACTATGGTCTTGACTACCCTCAAATATCTTTACTAAAAACATGAAAACCAATGAGGATTAAGCAAAATGTAACAGTGCTGTGTTTGCCTGGGGCCATTCGTGAGCTCATCAGAGTTGGGATTTCATTGCCAAGAGAACAAAGTAGCAGGTGGGTGTTCTAACCTGCTTTTTCATAAGAAATGCACCATCCGCCCAGTGTGACAGCATCCTGGCCAGACACCCGCTCTGTCTCCTCTGCCAGGATTGCAGCTCCCTGGTGGTGTCAGACCCTCCGCAGACAAAGCCGGGGCCACCCACTGCGAGCAAGTCCGCATCTGGTTCACCTGGGAGCCCCAAGTCCTCTCTCCTCGCTTCTGAGACCTCACGGAGCTGCCACCTTATCAGGGGCCTCTGATTTTCTCTGCCGGTGACAATCATATCCAGGACGCCCTGCGTTCAAGTCAGCTGCCTCGGTTTCTCTCACTTTATTTTCTCCTAAAAGCAGCCCTAAATAATTGTCACTTAGGCCAATCTGTCACGTTGTTGTAGATTTACAGGAAAGTCTTGTCTGTAGCTTTTCCTTGACAGGCCTCGTTCCAGGCCTGAGCATCAGCCCCTCCTCCACTCGGCGATGCAGCGGTCAGGGGTGGAATGGGGGTGGGAGACACTTGGACCCAAGCCTGGGCTCCACCACTGATAAGTTATGGGACTTTGAGGAAGTTCCTTAACTTCTCGGAACCTCCATTTGCTCGTCTGTAAAACAAGGGTAACACTACATCTCACAAATGCGTTGTGAAACATTGTTTTTTTTTTGTTTTTTTGTGGTTTTTTTTATCCTCACCCGAGGACATTTTTTGATATTTTGTTCAGATAGAGTGAGAGGGAGAGAGAGAGAGAGAAACATCCACGTGAAAGCGACACATCGAGTGGTTGCCACCCACACGACCCAACCAGGGCCGGGGACAAACTGCAACCAAGGTACGTGCCCTTAGCGGGAACCGAACCCGGGTCTCTCTGGACCGCAGGCCAACGCTCTAACCGCTGAGCCAAACCGGCCAGGGCCGTTGTGAAACATTGAATGATACGTTGTGTATGAGGCTCCTGATGCAGTGTCTACTGTCCCTCCCTAACATGGGAGGAAACAGCTGTCCCCAGATCTTTAGGCCAGCACCCCAGGCCTCACTGCCAGCCCCCCACACCTGCACTCCTCAGCTGTGTCAAATCCACTCTGCCTTTTAGCTCTGGAGCAAAAAGAACCAAGTCTACCTGCACACAGTTGCAGGCTCCAAGCGTGATTGCAGAGTGAGCTTCCCACGCTTGGGACACACACGTGCTGAGGGACATCCTCCGTCCACGATTTCTAACTGTCCTTCAAGCCAGTCTTCTGAGTTCTGCTGGCCCACCTCAGTACTTGGTAGCCCACCTGCTTCTGACACCCACCTTCCCCTTCTTGTTCAGATCCAGGCTGAGTGCACTCCACAGGGATTGCTCGGAAGGGTCTCGTCTAATCTCCTTCCATTGGAAGAAAACACATTTTTTTTTCCTCAATCATTCTTGGCATTTCTGCCTGGAGGGCTGGGTGTTCCCTCTGGCCTTTCGGCTCGGAGCTGTTTGGTTTCTCCTGCATGGACAGAAAGGCGTCTCCTGTTCCTCAGTAGGACCAGTTGGCTGCACCAGTCATTCTAAAGCGAACGTGGAGGCCAGGAGACTCCAGGGCTCAAGCACGTCGGTGGAGTGCAAGACCTGGCTTAGAACCTGGTACCTGGGCACCTGGCAAAAACAGTCAAGAGGGCAGCATCTCATGTCCATACCCTGTAAGGACTTCTGAGATGCCACTGAGGTGGCCCCTCCGGGGCCAGGTCCTGCCATCATCCCCCTTCACCCCACCCCCACAGTAACCTTGGAGACTGTGAATAAGCTTCCTGCCCTGAGTCATCAGAAGCTTGGTGTCCAGACCTGCATCCAATGTTGCACTTTCCAGTGTCCCAGGTGCCCACCAAGACCTGAGGACGTGGATGGAGGGTCACTGAGGACCAGACGGAAGAACCTCAGAGGGATTTCTGAAGGTAGTTGCCTCCATCGCTGCTCTGGCAGCTCCCCTTGGCAGGGAGGCCCCGAGAGCCGGCAGACTTCCAGAGGCGCCGCGTGCACCCCACTGGGCGCGCAGCAGGGCGGGGGGCGGTCACTGCTGTCTGTTCCGAGAAGGCTGCTCCATTGGGCAGCGCTGGGCTGTTTCCACGCCCGCGGAGTTTCCCGACGTGGGTCTCACGTGCCTGGGAACTGGCTGCGGTCTGGGACAGCCGCGGCCGCGCCCGCAGGAGGGGAGCGGAGCCCTGTCCTGCGGGAGGCGTGTCCCGGACGGAGGGGCGCGACACGTAATGGCTGGGCGGGGGAAGACGAGGGTGCGGCCGGCGTGTGGCGCGCGATCGGGGCACCGGGTGGCCGCGCTGGGAGCCGCGAGCCCAGGGAGCCAGGCGGCGGGGTTCAGGAAGTGGAGGCTGCGACCTCAGGGCAGGACGGAGTGAACCTCCAGGATGCGAGGCGGCCGGCCGGCGGGCGGGGAAGACGCAGGGCGCTTTTCCGGGCGCAGGTAGGCTCGGGCGCCCGCTGACCCTGCCCTCGCCCGGCCTCCGGGACCCGCAGGGGCTCCGAGACGGAGCCTGGACCGCGCCCCCCACCCCCACCGGACCACTGTGACCGGGCAGCACCTGGGAGCCCGCGACCCGCCAGCAGGAAGCCCTTCGGGGGACTGAAAGGTGAGTCCCAGACTTTCTGTGGCCGCTGTGTGTTCACGCTGTGAGCTGCTCTGAGTTTGGAAGGGGACTTGGAGCTCACGTGTTTCTTAGACGGCCAGGCCGGCACCCACTGATAGCAACACTGAAGGGTCTTTTCTCCGTCCCCTCGCCCCCGTCACAGTGTCCGTTCTCTGCCTGTCCCGCCACTTGCGGGGGTCCCCCGCCCTGCATCTGCTCTGGCCAGTCCACATGGGCTGGGCGGTTGGGGTGTTCTCTCCGACTGCAGCTGGCAACAGCTGCCCCAGCAGCGGTTTGAAAGGGACACAGGGACGCACTGTTTGCTACTGAAAAACGTTAAGGCCTGAGCCCCTCCAACAAGTTAGGCTTAAAGGTTTCTGAATTATTCCAGGTGAAGCCAAATTTTCACCAGGCTGAGAAAGTGGCCCAAACAAAAATACGGCCTGGATCCGGGGTGGAATGGGAACCTGCCCCTCTGCCCTGCATCTCCGGGTACCTGTTGGGGCACTGACTGCTTCCCCGCTTCTCCGGCTGTGTGAGCGCCCACTGGCCGGCCCCCACCCCACCCATGCGGGCAGAACGGAGGACATAGCAAGACCTGTTTCCCTAGTATTTTGAAGAGCTTCACAGGAATACATTACGTAAGGAGGGAGTTAAATGGGCAGCGCACATTAGCTAGTGGGAACACCAGTCCTGCTAAGCGAAAGGGAAACCAACGCAGACTTCGCGGGGAACCGGCCACCTGGCAGGAGGGCTGCACGGGTTCTGTCCACTGAGGAAGGGGAGGGACAGTCCACTGGCATCTGAGAAGCACCGTCCTTCCAACACTGGTGTTTTGCTGACTCCACGACAAATCATAGGAACCTGCTCATTTCAAGGACCCTTTGTTATGAAGTCCTGTTGGATAGTGGGAGATCTCGAGTTATCAGGAAGACTTAAAAGTAGCATCGATGCATCTTGTTCCTACGCATGGTGAGCAAGTGCCACCTAAAGAATTCAGCAAGGCCCTGGCCGGTTTGGCTGAGCGATTAGAGCGTTGGCCCATGGTCCTGAGAGACCCGGGTTCGGTTCCTGCTAAGGGCACATACCTTGGTTGCAGTTTGTTCCTGCCCCGGTTGGGGTCGTGTGGGTACAGCCAGTAGATGTGTCTCTCTCACATCCATGTTTCTCTCTCTTCCTCCCTCTCTTCCTCTCGCTCTATCTGAAAATAAATGCAAAATTGCCCTCGGGTGAGTATGAAAAATAAATAAATAAAATGGGGATAATTGTTACTCACCAGGGCAATGGTTAAAATCAGGATCAAGATGAAAAAGAAAGCACACTTGCTGTGCTACATAAATTATAAGGTTCTATACAAATGTAAGGGGTTTTGTTATTATTACTCATCTGGCCCCTTGAAGCTATCAGAAGGAGTCTAGGTGTAGGATCTGGGCCTGGATGTGCAGCTTTTTAACTGTATGAAATATTTTAAGGCAGTGATTATGTCTCTGTCATATCAATGAAACACACCTATCCTGGCCACTTGCTTCTCTGTTTACTCCTCGCCTGCAGTCGTCAGAGCCCAAGGAAGTGAATGCCTTACTAATGCCTATGCGGGTTGCACATTGCAAAGGGCTCCTGGGAGCTCATGGGGCTGGAAGTGGCCAGTCTCCCCGTCCCCCGTCATAGACCACCCATATGCAGCCAAGTCCACTCAGAGAGGACGCTTTTTTGCTTTTTTCTGATCCTCACCAGGGTGCCAGCTCCACCAGTGGCCCTGACTCTGAGCATCAGTTCATGCCCTGTGTGTGTCTGTGACTTTCCCTCTGTCCCAAGCGGGGAGCCTGGCATATGCCGTCCCAGTGAAGCTTGTATGTAATGCCAGCATCAGAACCCTCAAGTCAACAGACTTCTGATGGGGCAGGCTGTTGATGAGAAAAAGGAAGTAACCACACGCTCAAAGACTTCAAATGGAAAAACACTTGCGCGAGGAGCCACCCCACCCCCTCACTTCACAGATGAGCCAGCGAAGGTGCAGGGAGCAAAGCGTGTGCCCAGGTCAACAGCTGGTCAAGGAAGGGACCGGACCTGAACTCGGTCTCTCATTCAGGACTAGAGACACTCGGGGGTTTCTGTCTCCTGGGCCTTCTGTACCTCACACACAGGCACTGAAACGCCGGCACAGAGGTAAAATGAAATGAAATGAAATAAAAAGAGAGGCTCCGGGGAAACTGGGATCTTCGAGAAGACCCCTGGATGAGGGGAACGGCACTGAGCGTTTCATGAGGACATGTCACCAAGACAGTTGAGACCAGTGGACGGGTCAGTAGCACACATCACACATTGATACACAGCTCACCGTCCGATGAGAAAGGCTCCCGGCAAATGACAGAGAGAACGGAGACTGGCCATAGGCACAGCAGGAGGGCAGGAGGAAGACCTACAGCAGATCCATGCCCCCGCCCCCGGGCCACAGCACACACGTCAGCCTGGGCATCTCACCAGGGCACCCCTGAGGGACGCAGTGGACCTTTGGTGGGAGCCGAGTTCCAGAATGAACTGCACAAACGGGATTCCTTTCTCAGGGCAGCTGCCAAGGGGCCACAGCAGTGTCCAGACCGAATCCTGGCCCCTGGGGAGAAACGCTCCCACACTGGTAAGCCAGCTGCTCCGTGGAGTTTGCTGCTGAGAAAGGAGAGAAAGCGTCACCGTGGCTCTGTCTCTTGGTGCGAAGGGAAGGCTGCGTTTATCAGCCACTGCAGGCCCGCCCTGGCCTTTGCCACCTCCAGCTTCTGGCTGCCAGAGGTTCTTCGGTTGACTTTCATTCTCCGCAAATACGACCCTAACTTCAAGCCAGACAGGCCTAAGGGAGGCCATCAGCAGTTTCTCCTCGCTTTCCAGGCGAGTCATAAAAGAGGATGGGAAGAGAGGAGACCGCAGTCACAACGGGGACAGTTGCGTGTTACCGCGCTCAGTCTGACGCCGTCCTGGGGAGGAGCAGGTGGGCACGCGGTGGACAGGCCGTGTCTTCCTAAATGACACGTGACCGTGGCCACCTTAAAACAGTCAGGAGCCTGGCCTGCCCACCCCAGCCGGAGTGAGCACCTGAGTCTGAGCACTTACGCTGGAGCTTTCTGGCCTTAGCCCCCCGGGGCACACAGTGCCAGCCTGCCAACGCCCCCTGCTGTCAGGACCCTGGCTCTAACCCCAAGATGCCCTGGCTGCAACCCCGAGACCCTAGAGAGTTCCTTGTGCACAGTGGCCTGAAATCACCCAGGAACTAACGCCGGGGTCACAGGGACCTTGCTGATGATTAGGGACCGGGAGTAAACAAAATCCACCCACCTTTCTTGACCCCAGGAATGTTTACCGTGCAGGGGAGGCTGTGCGTGGCCACTGTGGAATAGTGGGGCTAAGAATTTGAAGCACACAGAAGTGACGGCCGTCACGGTCCCCCACCCACCTGGTGGCTTTCCAAGCCCTTCACAGTTGTTTATTCAACCAACACTCAGGACAAGGGGTGAAGCCGAGAGAGAGCACACCGCTCCTGAGGCCGGCCCTGAAGACCGGCCCTGCAGACGGGCCCCATCCATCAAGCGCCTTTCTTGTAAATGACTGTGGCTTCCAGCCTCCCTTCTGTCTCTCCGCCTTCCACTCCTGACCTGAAACACTGCCTGCCCAGGCCCAGTCTTCCGAGTGGCAGCAGCGCAGGTCAAAACCTCCAGGCTCATAAGACGGGTGACCCACACCATCCCATCGTGACACCTCCACGGGGAGCGGGAGGCAGCGGTACACGCCCCGCCACCCAGACACCACCTGTCGGAGCTCTCCTGGCTGCAAAGGAGAAACACAGGGCCGCCCACGGATATCGGGCCCAAACCTTCTCTGGTTCAGGAAAGAGGCCAGATGGGCTCAGGACACATGCCTACATCTCACCACTGTGCTCTTGGTAGTTTTGAGAGAGGATGCTGTTGTCCCCTCTGAAGAAAGAGCTGACTTCTGCTAGGTTTGCAGTGGGTGGTTGTGCAGATGTCCCCAGCCAGCCATGGAAAGAATACCTCATGTCCAGACAGACGCCCTGCATGTCCGCAGCCCCGTCTGGGGTGGGGGAGGGGACACCGTCACAGAGCATGTGCCACATGGGAAGGAGGTCTGCTGCTCCTTACTGACCGACATTTTCCAGGAACAAGTGTTCAGTGGCTTAAAAATATTATTCCTTCAACAGGAACATCTAAACCACTGAGGTATCTGGTTCTTCAACATTTGCTTTTGGAGTGAATGAATAAATTCACACTGAAAAAATAAACTATGACATCTTATATTTCTTAAGCAGTTAATAGTGCAAATTGTACCATTCTTTCCCATTTACCTTCTATTCGCTCTCAAGAAATTTTGCATTATCTCCTTCCACATGTTTTGTTTATCAAGGCACAGCTCACTTTACATAAAATTAACCCGTTTAAAGTGAACAGTTCAGGGCCGTTTAGTATATTCACAATGTTATGTAACCACCACTTCAATCTAGTTCCAAAACATTTTCGTCACCCCAAAATAAATCCTTGTACCCACTGAGGAGTTACCTCCTATCGCTCCTCTTCCCAGCCCCTGGCAACCACCTGTCTGCATGCTGTCTCTATGGATTTATCTATTTTGTTATTCCATGTAAGTGGAACCATACAATGTACAACCTTTGGTATCTGGCTCTTTTCATTTATCATAATGTTTTCAAGGTTCATCCATGGTCTAGCATCTCTGGTGCTCCGTGCTTTTTCATGACTGGGTAATATTCCATTGTCTATATATGGCATGATTTTTTATCTATTCATCTGTTGATAGATATTTGGGCTTTCTCTACCTTTCGGCTCTTGTGAATATGTGTGTGCAAGGATTTGTTTGAATACCTATTTTCAGTGGCTCTGGGCACCTACCTAGGAGTGGTGTTGCTGGATCGTATGGTAATTCTCAGTTTAACTTTTTGAGGAACCGCCAGACTATTTTTCTTCTCCCGTTGTCTTATCAACATA